AACAGGAGCCTTACTGAAAAATAAAATAAAATAAAAAAATGTGGAAGTTGGCAATTGTGCTGTGAGATGAAATTTTCGGGAGTGATTGCCCTTTTTATTCTTGGAATTGGTTGGGGATACAGTTAGTTGATTATCATCTTTGGGTATTGTGTGTTGTGCTCCAAGCTCTTTTCGGACGGGATTTGCATGATTGCTTTGGTTCATTTGATTAACGTTGTTATCCCTCCTTCTTGTTGGAAACTTTAGCCGTTATTACCTATACCCGACATTACAACCTTGTGATAAACCTTTGATGTTTGTGGATTTATATTTATTCTTGAGTTGTCGGGCGTGATATATTGGCAAGCATATGGTAAAGATTTTCTATGTTTTGACTTGAGCGTTCACTTATATATCTTTAGCCTATACACTTTGGAGAGTGAGCGTACCATGTGAGATGTGTTGATCCTCGTTTGCATTTCATATTGATTGATTGTTAAGGCTCGCGGTCATAATGTCGATATATAAGGGTTCCACCATAACTTGATTTCTTATGTGTAAAATAATTTTGAATTGGCAAAAGGAGAAGAAGAGAGTGTGATTACAATTCGATATGACGAATTTGGTTTGATGCTTGAGGGCAAGCATCGTTCAAGTGTGGGATGGTTTGATTAGTCGAGGAAAGTGCTTGCATTTAATCATCTAATGTTACAATTGTGCACGTTTAATTCCTCGCATTTATGCATCTTTCGACTTATTTGATATTATGATAAACTCGTGCTTTGATGAGTTTCTGAGTGATTTTCAGTACTTTTGGAGCTATTTCTGGTTGCACGATGAGGTGTGGATGCTCGAAAGAAGGAGAAAGAAGTGTTACCAGCGAGTACGGGGTTGCCCCGTACTGACCCAACTACCCCCGTACTGGCCAACAGGCCCATGCACATCGAGAAGCCCATGCATTTCACGTATATGGCAGGAGAATTAATACAAGTGGGTTGCATTTAATAAAACTGAAGTGGGCCTGGGTGGACTAAGTCAAAAGAATTAATTGTTGGACTTTGGAGTATAAACAAAAGAAAAGTGACGTGGCCAAAAAGGGATATACATATACATTACGAGACTTTTGCTTGCAGGGAAAGGATTCATTCTTTGACCTGGCGGCTGAGATAGGGAAATAGAGGAGAAAAAGATCGCGAGATACAGCAACTGGACAGAGACATTGGAGAACAGAGAAGATTTATTCTTTTCTTTTTCTTGTTCTTTTCACGTGTAATTAAATTCATGAACATTGAACGCTATGAGTGAGTAGTTCTTCTATTTCTAGTTCCGGAGAAGTCGAACCCTACGATTGACGATGTTTGATTAGTTTTTATGGTTGATAATTTCAATATCTTTTTTGAATTGCTTGTGTTATTTTGAATAATTAACCATGATGTGTTGAGTTTTATTTAGATTGATCAGCTAGATAAGGCTTTTCATATCTACAGTTGAATTAGACCTTCAATCCGTAATTGTTGTTGTATTTAGTTCATTAGAGGCTACCGGAAGACGGTAACTACCGGGGATAACACGGCCTATTTAAGTTAACGAACGCGGTTGAGTTCACTATTTAGTCTAGCCTATTTTTCTAATTCGTAAAGCGGCTAATTGTACGCGCTTGCGCTTTCGGTTGCAGATGCAATTTTTTATGAAGAAGTCAGATTTAATCGTAGAGCGTCTCGCGGTTAAATTAAAAATAAGGAAAAATTCGGGTAACAGACCATGTCGTTGTTTAGGGCTGGTAATTCTATGAGATAGCTAGATTTGATACTAAAATTGATTAGACGAGTCAGTCGAGGGTGTAGACGAAACCGTGGACTAGAAACTTCCCCATTTATTTGATTAATCATTTTTAGTTGTTGCATTTGATTTCACTCTGTTATTCATAATTCTAGTAGTTAATTAATTCGGATCAATACCCCACTTTTTATTAGTATTTTCATGATTTCAATTAAAGAGAATAATTTCAATTAAATTCCACACTCCCTGTGGGTACGACCCTTAATCACTACTACTGCTAGATGGTAGAAGTCGGTTAAGGAAAATTATTATTATAATTTGACCGCGTCGCGACGCGCAANCTTGCTAGCCGGATATTTCTGTTTTCTCGGTCGATCTTTAGGCCAATAGGCCACAAGTCCACAACAAGTAGCTAGTAGCTACTTTAGACTAATCCATCTCTATGTCATGGCTATTTCTAATTCATTTGTTGGTATGTAGGAGATGCTTAGAAATATTAGAAATGTTAGTTTTTCATATTAATAATATAAATACATATATGAAACAGAAACAAATGTCGAAGAATTGTCCAACAATAATCGAGGAAAAGTAAATTGATAAGAACAATCTGAAACTTTATCAATCAGCTAAACCACAATGCAACTTCTGTAAGCAAGCACAAAAAGTAGCAAATTGACATTCTTTTGATTGTCAAAGACAGGAAGCCATAAATCTCACTAACCTGTCTACTGGGTATTCTTGTATTCTGCCTCACGAGTGCTCCGGCAGCTACCATTGCGTGTTTCTCAACAACTACCCCATCAAGAAGTGTTGCACCCATACCAACAAATGCCTCATCCTCCACAGTACATCCATGCAAGATAGCCGTATGACCTAATCCATCCAATGTGCAAATTAGCCCTCAGGATCAAGAAAACTCCTTAAGACTAAGCCAACCATATTTCATCCACCTCCCACACACACACACACACACACAAAAAAAAGGTTGAAGTTACTAACCTACAGTGACATTGTCACCAATAAGGATGGGCAAGACTTTTCCACCTAAATTGGATTTGGCTACGTGAACAAGAGAATTGTCTTGAATGTTAGTTCCAGATCCGATACTGATGCTGTTCGCATCACCTGTATAAAAGAAAATATCATTCAAGTTTTTAAGCATAATAAACGCGGGAGAACACCGTAAGTACCAGGAGGAACCCTGTAGACATGACATGGAAATAAAAAAAAAATAAAAAATAAAAAAAAAACTGTATCTTGGTGATGTTTTATAGGTCTAGTTATATTTCAGTTATACACTGTTGAAACATCGGATTTTGTGATGAGAACCCTTTTCATCCAGTGAAGAAAAATATAAATGAATCAACTTTTAACCAAAATAAAGGAATATGATAAATGCAATCAATCTTTTGTAAAATTACACACGTATAATAGTTCTCATCAATATATGATTAAAAAAAACAAAAGAAAATTGGTTTTCTTTTTTCATTTGTTTGGTCTAGCTTGCTTCCTTTTAAATGCTTAACCCAACCAACCACTGGCAGAGTGTGTTGTGAACATGGGTAGAAACAACAATAGCTTAAAAGATGGCATTTTCACAACCCTCTTGAAAATTGAAAAATAGACAACAGCAACAAAATTCTAGGGGGCGAACAGAATCAAAAACAATGAGCAAATATACTTTAGTGTATAACAAAGAAAGAAGGAGGCACCAGAAACCATCTGACAAAAACTAAAAAGTTAGAATTGCATTGATAGATCTTAAGGGTCTTGTTGACTAAATGCCAACTTAATTCACCTTCACTCAAAACCTAAGGTAAGATGGAGCTCAAGACCGCTAAACAAGAGTCACACTAACTCTGAACTCAAAAGGTCACAAATAAATAGCATTATGACTAAAATCATCACAACTGAGTTCGGATAGTCATGTTGCGACCATGATTCCACTAGTATATAATACAGCTTAGAGAGCAATGGAAAACACAATAAAAATTATGCACCAACATTTTGCAAAGCCAAGAGCAATGTGAAAAATGAAAGTCCATAACTTCGGAAGAAACCTTCAGCAAGGACCCAAGGAAATTTTAAGTCACTTGAGGCAATTAAACAGAAGCAGAAGGGGCTACAGGCTAACAATCAAAGGTACGGTGTGTCCAAGAAACTATGGAAGAGTTCATGCATCACAAAGTAAATGGGCAGCAGATTATAACTACAGTATAACCATAATAGATGCTGAAAAGAACTACAATGAAAAGAAATGGAACAAAGTGCAACACTTAAATTTCTCTACCAACCTCTCTTCAAGATAATTAGTACCTTTTCTTCACGGGTCCCTTAATTTTTGGAACATTTCCATAATTACATACCAATAATTCAGCTAAAGGTTTTTCATTTTTTTTTATTTTTTTTTTTGTGTGTGTGTATTTTTCATGAGAGATAGAAAGCAATCTTGAACCAGAAAACTACAGTATTCGCACACCAAATAATTAGCCGAAATGAGACATTGATGTAACACAATAATGAAGGTTTCAACTTTTAACAGCAGTCAAAGTAAATTAGAAACCAGAGTAACAGCTATACTTGATGGGAGGAATAACATACCTCTGAGAACACATCCATACCAAATGGAAGAATTAGGTCCAACATAGACATCCCCAACAATGGATGCACTGGGGGCCACAAAGGCATTCTTGTCAACCACGGGAACTTTGTCAAATAAGTTCATGAGTGTTCTGTGCCTGGAAACTAGAAACAAACGAGAACAAAAAAAAAAGCAATTAAAAGTGATTTAAGAATGTGTAGAAAACTCAAAACTTGCTACAGAAATAAAAGGCATGAACTAACAGGTTAAAATATCCCATCAATCCAAAACGAGGGACAAGAAGGATTTTAGGCAAGTTAGTTTCCTCAATCTTTTTGCAGCAAGCAGCAAAGAAAATTCAAAAATAATACATAGGTTCCTTTTGTTTGGAGCACTCCATAGCGTATTCCAAAATTCATAGTTTGGGAAAAAAACACAATTGCTAGCGAGCTTTCATGAATACAAAATCATATCTTTCCCCCAAATCACAGCAATCCTAAATGCAAACTTGAAAAATAGAACAAATAACCAAATGCCGTCAGCTGAGGGTGAAATGAACCATTAGGTTAAACCAGAAAGAACGAAAAATTACTTACCTTGTTCTTGGAAAAGATAGGTTCCCTGCAGGCGCGAGCCGAGCCGATCGAGGGCTTGGCCGGTTTCCCTGATCCAGAATCCAACGCTGTAGACAGCTCTCCCCACAGAACCCATCCTTCCTCTCCTGCTTCGTGTTTTTTTTCACCTGAAATTGAAATGTTGTGGTTATGATTATAAGATTTGAGCTTCAGAACTCCCAGAGAGATGGAAATTCGATTTGGTGAGCAAATTTGATTCGAGGGAAAATGGAGAGTGTAGAGACCAAAAAACACCGAGAAAAATGGACTCGGTTAAACTCACCGAGTCAGCCACTGAGTTAGTTCCACTCGTTTACGTTCACTAACTTCACTTCATACACTTGCAATTTGCGCAGCAAGTAAATGTAATAAATATATATTTTGTTATAAATGCGATGAAAATAAAAAACTCAATAGAGAAATCCCATATAAATTATAATCTAATTTTTCTTCTTCCATAAGTGTATTTCTCCACTTCATTTGGGTTGCCTTTTATAGGCAACCTCTACTCATACATCTCAAGAAATATGTAAAATAATTTGGTTCCACTTGTTTACAACTCATGTTCATCTTGTTTATAACTCATGTCTACTTGTTTACAGCTCATGCCCATCACCCCATATGCCAATCATTTCACTATTTTGTAGTGTTCTAAAAGTTGTTAGGCGTTCTAGGCGCTCGACCAACGCCTAGCGCCTAAAGCGTTACGGCGGGACCTAGAAATCAATATTAAATATCTTAACTTTTATTTATTTCAACTACCTACAAAATAAAACTATATCAACTTATAATAAATCTACACACCTAAATTATATCAACTTATAATAAATCTACACACCTAAGTCTAAATAATAATATTAATATATTTTAAAGAAAACATGAGAACAAAATAATGTAATTGGTACTTAAAAAAAATTAAAAAATTACCGCCAAGCCCACTTAAGAGCGCCTAGGTTCGCCTATGTCCGTCTAGGCACCGCCTAACCGCCTGGCCGAGCCCGCCTAGGCGCCGCCTAGCCGCCTACCCGATTTTTCGATCGATTTGTGCAAATCGGAGGCGGCTGGTCACCGCCTAGGCCGATTTTTAGAACAATGTTATTTTGTAGTGGTTTAATTCCACTTGTTTACAACACTCCCTAATGTAGGGAAGCGTACGAGTGGGACCATAAACGAGATACTCTCTCGATAAAACTCACAAGAGTTGATCAATTCTTATTATCAAATTCATTGCAATAACAAAGAAGAATGAGTCTTTAAATAAGACTTCTAAAGCCCTAAACCTAACTTGTTCACCAATCTACTAAATAATAATAATAATAATAATAATAATAATAATAATAATAATAATAATAATAATACTAACATTTATTTTGCATCATTCTCCCCCGGTTGAGCAGGATTCGCCCTCGAATCTGACCCGTTCCCCTTGGAGACGTCTCATGACAGGAATAACCCAACGTTTCCCCCGATCGAACACGAAGGTTGAAGGTCGCCCAACAACCCCGAAAGTAAATATAATCTCGGTCAAGGATTGAACTGCTGCAAAGGCACATGTACACACCTTCATACGCATAACCCACACAGCTGAATTAACACAAAACATACCACATTGTTCGCCGCGCTCTAATCCATAACTACGGCCAAGCATCCCGTTGTTAGGAGACTTTGCGATAGACAATCGGAAAATGGCCCATCAGTTATTGAGCTTCGGCTTCGGCTCCCAAAAACCATCGTTGGCCAAGATACTCCAAACATCGGGTTTCAACGACGGCATCCCCGTCAAAGGCTCAACTTCTGCGACGTCCCACGCGGGACCCATATTGCCGCAAAAATATGTCTCTGTCACCGGAGGCTCCTCATCGAAAATAGGTGGACCGTCGTACAATAGCCCGTCATCTTCCTCAAAAATCGCACTCTGTTGCCGCACATCTTGATCGTCGTGCGCAGCAACGAGCTTAGTCTTGATGAGCGGAGGCGGCCACTCTCCGAAGGGATCCATCTCCGAGATGGTCTCCTCGCCGTCTACATCGCTAGGCGGCAGTTGTGGAGATCCCCGACAGGGCGCCCCGCCTGGAATACGACCTTCACTTCCTCCGTGAACTCTCCCGCGCACACCCCGGTCGCCGGCAGCACGGTTCATCTGCAAATCCCAGACCACGTTGTTAAGCGTCAAACACAAATCCTCGATCCCCGTCGAAAGATCTGCAAACCAACCCGTGAAACGCACGTCCAACTGTTCAAATCGGTAGTCGATCTGTTGAAACCGATCGTTGAAGGTTGCATCACATCATTTGTTTGCGGCATCTTGTCGTCCCGGCGACATCGCGAATCGTACTGACTGCTGATACCAACTGATATAGGGAAGTGTACGAGTGGGAGCATAAACGAGATACTCTCTCCATAAAACTCACAAGAGTCGATCAATTCTTATAATCAAATTCACTGCCAATAACAAAGAAGAATGAGTCTTTAAATAAGATTCCCTAAACCTAACTTGTTCACCAATCTACTAAATAATAATAATATTAACAATAATAATAATAATAATCATAATAATAATTATATTTATTCTGCATCACTCCTCCTTAGTATTACCACTATAAAATGTGTGTTTATGCTGAACAAAGCTCAATCTGAATATCTTGAAGTGTATCAAATATCGATGCTTCATCATGGCAAGAAAACCCGGTGGGACAAAACCTTAGCATTATGAAAGCACAACATTACTCCCCCTCAAATAGATCATCTTTAGTGGAGTATCCACGTGCTGCCTCGTTAAAACCTTGTCAAGAAAATCCAGTGAGAAAAAACTTGATTGAAGCAAAAAGAGTATAGCTACCCCATTGTCTTCTTATCATCATGAGAAATTATAACAATTATCCAGTGGTCCTCATTATACCATGAATATGCCTCGTTAATACCTTAAAACCAAGTGGGATAATATCTTAATGAAGGAAAAAGAGTGCATTATTCATGTGAATACGTCATTCTTGTTGCCTCATTTAAAACCTTGCTGGAAAAACCTAATGAGATAAAACCTCAGCCAAGATAAAATAGTACAACGCGTATTTTATATTTTCACCATAATAATCTTTCCATAATTTGCATGAGTATCATATAGATTCATTCAGATTTCATGACTCTGAGGTCTGGCTCATTCAATTTAAGAACACTATTTTCTGCTAAGGTGTTGGAATTGTGTGAATGAATGTATTTGCCTTCTCATAGGATGATGAAGAGCTAGACAAAAAAGGATAGATGTGAAATGTGATTTTAAAAAATAAATAAAATAAAATTTTTGTTGTGGTAAATTACATTTCACATTAACATATTTAGTAATATAACAATTTTTCATCCTCTAATGTACAACGTGATCACAATGGTGATGTGAACATAATTAATGTCTATAATGTTGAGAAGAATGTAATTCATCCACATTCCCCTCCACACTCTTTCCAATGGAAAGAGATATAATAATTCTTTACCAAATTCAAGTTATTTAATTATTTAATTAATTTTGTTACTTCTTATTATACTTTTAATAATTTTAATATTTGATAAGTAGATAATATTGTAATTAGACTACATTGTGCATTGAAGATAGTTTTTTAATTTCATAGTTGTGAACTTAACATTTTTCCTACATAGTTCACAATCTATTTAATTTATTTGACATTTGTCAAAATTTATTCTATAATAACATTACAGCATTGGAGATGGCTAATTTGGACCAACCTACAGATAGGTTTAATAAGGTAGAGAAAAATTAATTTTATGAAACAAAATGATTAACCTATTACTATGGTTTTTTTTTTTGGAAAATTTAATTCTTTTTTTTTTCAAATGACAAAATTCAATAACTAAAACACATAATTACAGCCGACAAACTAGTCAGAATAGAAGGACTACCCAAGGCAGCCTAGAAACCATAACACACACTACAAAACGAAATAAGAAAAATAAAAAGCTCCCAACATGAGAATAACACAATCTCCCAACAAGAGAATAACACGTTCCTCCAAATGAAGAGAAAACAAAACACGACACACAAAACTAAAAACAAAACTAAAACACCAAACGACTAAAGCTACTACAACCCTTCCCACAACAGTAGCCACAACCAGCTAAACCAGTGGCAAAGTAACGGCCATGAAACCCGACCAAAAACTGCAAGAGAACGCCTAACTGGGCTACGCCAAAAATCCCTACCCCTATCCAACCGGACAACACCACCTGCACTCGGAGACCAACACCCCCAACACCACTCCGCCGACAACACAGACCCCAGCCCTTTTAATTCCAATCGCCCCTTTTAAGCAATCGTATACGTCCTAGATTCCAATCTCACATTCTTCTAATTTGGTTATTATTTATAAGTCCATATTTCAGGCTTTTCAGCATAGGGGCATATGTGGTAAATTTAAATAATAATAATAATAATAATAATAATATAATAATAATAATAATAGAGCTAAAAAAACTGACGGAAATGACCCAGCATACCACAAACTAAAAACAATAACAATAGTGAGATAAATAATCATGTAAGACACCACGCTTCACTTTATACAATCAAAGTTTCATAAACCCTTGAGACTATGTTGAATCACATTGAGCAGCTTGATATCTCTACTACCTATGTACGTTACAAACTGAGACCGGTAGTTCTTCAACCACTGAAATCTTTCTGCCTGCAAACAACAATCAATAGTTCTCTTCCAGCTTAAAGTGACCCGAATTTTCGAAGCTCCAGTAAGTCATCTAAAAAGTACAGTTATCGATGAAGCATGAACACGTATATTATAATATTTAACAATGCAACCTGTTTTACTGCATAACATGCGTACCTTTTAGCTCATAGGGACCTCATTAATCTTGCAAAGTAATACTGAAACGAATTTGAGTATTAGTTTGCTACTCATAAAGCTGGAAGAGAAGGTGCGTGTGTTATTGTCGAGAGCCAATCCAAAAGGGCCTCGTTCACGAGCTCCGGGACTTCATCATGTGGGCAGTGTCCAGCCTGTAAGTTAACTAAACAAGTGTTTGGATAGAATTCTTTGATCCTAAGAGCTTTAGAAGGACCAACCCAAGGATCCAAGTCACCCCACACCAATAGCAACGGGCAAGATAGCTGGCTCAACACGCTGTCCAGTGTGTACTTCCTTTGATTTGACATGAATCGCGTCATTAGTCTGCACAAAATAGTGAAGATAAGGAGAAATTTAGTTCAAGAAATTTAGGTGAGTAAATCCAAAAATGTGGAACAATGCTTAGAAAAGTGACAATGCCTAATTGATGTGTTTGGTAAAGGGAGTTTTGAGCTAGAGTTAGATGTTTGGACTTCAATTGGAGGTTTGAACTGTCAAGACCTCGGTAGAGCATATTTGGTAAAGAGAGTTTTAAATGAGTTTGTGTTCCAAAAAGCTAATTTTGAACAACCTCCAAATATGAGCTTTCTGAGAATCGATGTTACTATTAATATGACATAAAAATTTTACAACAAATATATTAATTACCTAATGGAGATATTTATTTATTATAAATTAACAGTTCACATATTTATAAATTAGCAGCTTAAAAATTTGTACATCTAGTAATTTTAAACCAACAATAGTTGTTAAGTTAATAGTATTTATTTATTCACCATAAATTTATCGAAGAAGAAGAAGAACCCCCTTAAACTATGATTCAGTTTCTTAACATAACAGGGTCTCTCAATTGGGATAGAGTATGCAGTAACAATTACCCTGTCAATAGACAAACCAATAAGTTGGACATTTGAAAGCATGCATTATTCCAGTGCAGATGTAGTCAATGATAGAGCAAAAGATTTTTTCTAGATTTGCAACTAATAACAGGACAAGGATTTAACAAGGGGCTCACAAAACTTCAGGAATCAAAAGCCCATACCTGTAATAAACTTCCCCAGCATTTGGGTCATCTGCAGGCCTTGTAATTGAATTAATGAGATAGTCATCCACATTTGTAGCATTAACATATACCTTGAGATAAACAGAGAAGAAATTCAATATATACCTCAGACTATCAGAGCAGAAACTCCGATCACATGCAAAATTTAAGAACATCTACTAGTTTACGCTCCTATTGAGAACACATAGTGTCTTGTTTGTCTCACATATAAAGATAATAAGAATTTAAACGATAAAAAAAACAATACCCGATGTTTCTGATATATATTTAATGCCAACACCAGGTCAATTTAAGCACAATGCTGGATAAAATTAGACAATTGAGAGCAATATTCCGTAATAAGGAAATGACGTACACTTTTCAACACGGACTCTATGCGTGCTGGTTGCTTGGCTTGCCAGAACAAAAACCCAAGAGCCACACGTTGAAAAACCTCCTTCAGTGGATTGAGAACGAATTTTTGCAAGGCATTTTGTTCTGCCTCTGGCTGTGCATTGATGGCATCACCAAACTGTCCAGCGCTGTTTAGCAATACGACCCCCTTCACTTGATCCTGCAGCAATGCTGCCGCCACCAAAGCAGTAAATCCTCCTAGACTATAGAAGCCATGCATGTGAATAAACATTTCGGAAAAGGAACAAAATGAATTATTACAGCACCAGTTAAAGAAAAAAAAAAAGGGTGGTTATTCACAAGGCAAATGTAGGATTTCGTAAAACAATAAGAACTCAACATGCTAGAAGGCCCTGCTTGTTTGATGTTTATTACCAAGTCAAGATATGAATAGCAGTCTAAATATGTCCCACAATGAAAAGACTGAGAACTCGGCAGCTCGTACAGAAAACTGTTCAGAAATTGTCCTTAGGTGTTAATGAACACGTTTCCGGGCAGTTAGCGACTTAAAACTAAGGGTCCATTGAATTTTTTCAGGAAAATTCTCTCAATTGCAATATTAATTAATTAAACGTCAATTGAGGCTAAAAGAACACCTGGTACAGCTATTAATGAGCAGTATCATAGATGACATTCTTTCAGCTTTTATTTGGTATGTGAAATTCAAGATGTTAGTGTAAGGAATTCAGAGAAGCTCATGCAGCATCCCCTCTGTAATGCTTAATATAGCAATTGTATCATATCAGTGGTCACTCAATACATCAACTCTCATGCTGTTCGCAATTAGTGATAAGCTGAGTAAAAATAACACATTTCAGCTTCATAAAATAACAACAGTATTTTGTAGCAAGCTTGAAGACACATAGATGACCATAAACAACATAAATGCTGCTAAAATGATATTTTGATATCCTCGAGTGCATGTTTTTACGATGTTTGTACACAAGATGACAGGGAAAATCAGGAATGTAGAACCTGAACATGATGTAACAAGTACAAAGACTCATCTTGCGTACAAACATTTAGGAATTTAGAATATCAACATATTGTAACAAGTACAAAGACTCAAGAAAATAAAAAGATAAATATCGAAAAAAAAAAAAACCACTTTACCTGTTTCCAACTAAAACTGTGGGTTCTTTAACTATCTCCTTCACGAAATCCGCGACTTGATCTCTCCACACCAGAGCATCATACTCAACTAGCGCCTTCTCACTCCATCCAAAACCCAGCAAATCTAGGGCATAGACTTTATATTTTTTTGCTAATTCAGGTATGTTGTACCTAGAAGAAAGTAAAAGGGAGCGGGAGCATGGAAATCAACAAAGTTGGTGTTCTGAATTTGGTGTACAGTAGTACCGAATATTGAGTCCATAGGAAAAACTGGGAGCAAAATATGACCAACAACTCCCAATCAGCAAATAGTGCATTCAGTTACATATGATGCAAATGCAATTGAATTATGACTGCAAATTGAAAAGTTTACATGAGTTCAAATTGAGCACAAGAAAAACATGTAATGACAATGTATTTCTATAGGACAAATTTTTTTGGATAAAACTAGGAATTCTAGCAACACAAAGACCTCAATAAAATTTTCTAGCTTCAGCACAAAAGTATGATAAAGAAAAAGCTAACCTCCAATGAAATGCAGAAGCACCAAACCCATGAATTAGAATAATGGGGAACCCCTCCCCTTCAACCACATAATGTATCTTTCTATCTCTCCATGTCCAGTAATTGTAGCCCTCTGATTTAAACGGCAATTTCTCCAATCCTAGGTAACATAACAAGCAACCCAACCATATTTGAGAATCCCCACAGTAAAAAATTACAGACTACAGAAATAGAGTGAACTATGCCTTGCGCTTTCGAAGGTTCTGCAACAACTGTGGCCGCCATTACAGAAGCTCCAGCGACGACAATTCCTTTAAGCGCAAAATCTCTCCGACTCAATCCGCATCTGCTTCCTACGCATGTTTTGAAACAGAACATTAAACAAAAGCTGAACATTTTCCATGTCTAACTAGAACAGAATTTTATGAGCAACTTACTGTGAGGATGAAGTCTTGAAGAACTTCTACTGCCTAAAAGCTCCAACTTCAATGAATTCGGTAAAGAAGCGCATGAAGCTGACATCGAACCTGCCGAAGGCCCGACTCAGATCAAAGGGTTTTTCTGGGATGTGGTGGTGATCAGAGTTCGAGCAGAAAAATGTGAACGAGCAACTGGAGATTTTTGTTTCAACTTAGTAGAGATTGCTTGATTTTGTGTGTTAAATAGTAGAGAGAGGAAATGTATGTGAAGTTAGGAGTTTAATGATGAGTGGTTGGAGTGCGTTTTTAAGTTGTGGCAAAGCTGTAACACAAGTCGCGCGTTTATGTTCTGCAAAATTTTCTGAATGAAGTCGGTAATTTTTGGCTGCCGAAAATATTGAATTTCTCACAACATAACACTCTGATTACGGATCACAAAATTTCGAATAGCACATGTCGATAGTTGCACCCTCCTTTATTTTTATGTCATCAAAGTTCAAAGTTACGCGTTGAAGTTTGGAGGATTTAACAATTTTGGATCTTTTGAATTGACATTCTAAGATAGGTCAGACATCCTTGATAGTCGTGCATTGAACGATAGCGTGTTTGATTAACGACCATCAAAATTGCGTATAGGGCTCGAAAGTTCGTCTTTTCTAACTTGTGTTCCAAATTAGTCCAAGTATCTCTTGGTTTGGGTACTTCATCAATTACATTATGTAGCTCACTATCTGTAGTTTTTTCTCATTGTTGAATGTTTCCAGCCATTCTCACGCTTTCACGTGCTCCTTTTCTTCAGTGAACGGAAGTAGATAGTCATCATCGATTTTAAGTAGGAGTAGTTCGAGCCATCTAGTTGTTGAGGTATCGACATGGATCTACCATCGTGATTCATGATTACCCATGTACAAGTCCACAGGATCTTCCTAAAAATGAACGAAACTCGCTCGGATCCCAATTGAAATATTGAGGGTTACAGAATTGCGCTTTAAAACAGTAAATAATGAACGTTCACTCAAATTACGGAAGCGTATCAATCATAAAATGAACTTTCATGAGAGCATCCTACTCTCCCTCGAAACTCTTGCATTCAAATAAGTGTTTAACCAACTAGTACAACTAGGATTTACAACGAAGACTCTCTCTTCCTAACCTATGTTGCACTCATACTTGTCTAACTAATTTTCTGGTCACTCCTCGTGGACTTGGTTTGTTGCATTGATCCCTCCGTGCAATGTACGTGCTCGTCCAAGCAATGAAAAACTGATTACGAGAATATGTGACTCAAATCAGCGTTGATGTACTCTAATTGAGAACCACTAACAATAAAATAAAACTGAGATAATTCTCTCTACACTCTCTCGCACACTATTATCAAGACAATAATCGTCGCAGTTTATAAAACAAAGAGTGCGAGACTACTAACATACAACTTAATACGACGCAAGTAAGCTCTTCAGCAGCTTTCAAATATAGACACTCTCTACATTTAGGTAGGTGCGTGTGTCCAGGTTCATGCGATCAGATTGACGCATCCCTCTCGTCCATGTATGGTAAGTTTTCTTTTTGTCCGCGCTTGATCTTCTTTTCCAAGTAAGGTAAACTCTCATGATTTAAGTTGATTTCCCTTGATCCCATGCAAGGATATATCTCTCTAATCCTCCTAGAAAATTAAACAATTAGTCAATCGGTTCAAGACTTAATAAAGAATTAAATGGAATAAAAGGAAAGGAGTCGAGACTTTCTTTAGTCTTCGAGTAGATATCCAAGTTGCCTACACAAATAAAATAGACGTAAGGATTTAATTGAGATTTGCGATTGAATGCCAAACTTAAAATTATTACAACAGCCACTGTGTCCTAGTGCGTCGGGTTGACGATGTCCCTGATGTTAGCTCAAGAAAGATTATTAGGTCAAGTCCGGCTGGATGAATAAATCCAATATAATAATAAGAGATTGAGTGATACTAATTTCGAATCAATAAGTTGATTAATTATATTTTCAGTAATTAAATTAATGAACAGAAGTTAGATCTTAAATATGGGAAGGTAAATCGAGCATATAAATTGGGAGACGAATTATTGTGATTTGGGGCTAAATTGAAAGTTCAACAATATTTATATAGTGGAATAAAATATTATTCAAGTCAGTAGACCAAAGTCTACAGTTGCGTTCACACTTAGGGAGTCCTTATTTAACACCTCCTCTGAGTTCTATTGTAGTCTGTAAATATATGAAGTCCCTAAAGCCTTACATAAGTGATACACGTTATTTTAAGCGTGAAAAATTAGTTTCTCATCCTAAATATTTTGGCCAAAACGAGAGGAAAAAAAGAGAAAGAAAATCGAGAGGTCTAGGCAAGAACATCGAACACAACTCGGTCTTCCTTATTCTTTCTAAGATCAATCGACGTGAGGTTTTGGAGGTTCCACGAGTCGGCCACCAAGACTACTTGGAGAGAGGTGATCGGTCATACAACAGAAGGTTTGAAGGTAGTTCGTTCAGTCCTGTAGAATGTGTCAGTACCCGATCTGGAAATGCTTTTTGTTCGTTCCACTTTCGTCATGTTTTTCTTGTTTATTTTATGCTTATTTTTCCCCTCCTTAGGTATTTTTCTTTGGTTCTTGGTCCGTTTGAGTCGTTTCGCGCATTTCTTTTGTTTTAGTCGTTTTTTGGTCTTTTTGTTCGTTTTTCTCGATTTTCCGTATTTCTTGTCGGTGGTGATGTGCAGGATAGATAGCGCGGTGCGTGGCCATGCGAGGATTACCATCTAGGTGGATGAGTTGGGGTCGAATTGGAAAAGACAGGATTATATTCCAAGTCTGGATGCGAGAACACGAACCCGAGAACGTTTTTTTTTTGCTGTGCAGGAAATTCTTCACCGCGGCCGCGGAGGTGAGGTCGCGGCCGCGAGGTCCCCGAAAGCCCCTTTTCTGGCCTGTGGATGTCGCGGCCTCGAGTAATGTCATGGCCGTGGACCTTCCTTCACCGCGGCCGCGGAGGAGTAGTCGCGGCCGCGGAGGTCGCGACGAGCAGGATTTTTAGTTCGGATTTTAGATCTGTTTTTCATTATGTTCTTTCTAGGTTTTGATACTCTCTCGTACTTTTTCACTCCAGAACTCATATTTCTCTTAGTTTTGATTAGAATTCGATCTTGGATTGTGAAAACACCAAGATTCGACTTGTGGATTCAGATTGTTCGTTGTTTTTCGACATTAGATTCATATTTAATCGTAAGCTTTCTATTTCATTTTATCTGTGATGATGATGGCTTTGATTGATATTGATGTTGATGTTGAATTGATGATGAGTAGCTAAATTTGTTAACTAGGGCTAGGGGATAATTGTTCCGGTTCGATTTCGTTTGTGTGATTATTTAATTGCTCAATCTAATCGAGTTGCGTTAAACCTAGGATTGAATTGATTGATCACCATTTTAATCCACTAAATTGATTCTTAGAACCGAAAGGGAAGGAATTGATTGATCTAGGCTCGTTTAGAATAGACTTGTTCGGAAACGTATTGTCTATGTGCTAATTGATTCGATTATTGTTCATTTACGTTTATTCTCTTGTTACGTGAGTTATTGAGAATGAATCCCTGAATGGGTGAGTATTTCGCGGCCTTTAGCCGAGTGATTGATTGTTACTTCATGTATTGAGAACCGGAAACGATTGTCCCCGACACCTTAGCCCCTTTTGTTATTATTTGAATTGTGCTTTGTGCTGTGAGATCGGAATTACCTTGTTTGAGAATTTTTCGTGGTTAATCTCGTAGTTGATAATCAAATCCAACCAATTGAATTAGAGTGTTTAGGATTTAATTTCTCTTTTTGTGATTGATTATACGTACAAGATAATCCGGCTGACCTTCCTTGAGACACGACCCGGTGTTCGAATCTTTCGATTCTACTCCGGTAAAAATAACTACAACACTTATCTTATATGGCACCATAGGTCTGAGTGCGAAAATTATTAAATCGTAAGTTGGTAAACATATCATTATGAAGGCTCATGAAAATAAAACCACATGCATGAGGTCATGCATGGCCAGCTCACCTTCCACATGCAGCCAAAATACTACACCACTGCCACTGCTCGTACAAGGTTGTTAGGAGAGCATTTTTTGAATTTTGAAATCTTATCCTTTTATGTATTAGGTAGAGTGAGGTGTCCCTATTTTAGATTATTCCTCTTAGAGTATGTATTAAGGTGTATGTCACCTCAGAATATAATCAATCAATTTACAAAGACAAAATTCTCTCTTGAGCAAAAATACCTTTCTTTTGATTTTATGTTCATTTGATCTTTTAATGGAGGATCTCAAAGTCTTTCATGGTATCAGAGCACCAGGTTAGCTTGGTTGCTCTGAGATCCACCATTACCCTCTTCCTTCACCATGTCGTCCTCTTCAAGCATGACATCCTTTTCCACAGATCAATCCCAGCTAGTCTTTCCCCAAAGCCAACTCATTACAACAAAGCTCACAGAAAACAATTACCTCATATGGCAACAGCAAGTTCTCACAGCCATAAGAGGATATGGGCTTCAAGCCTACATTTCAAAGGAACAAAAAAAACCAGATCAACTCCTCAGATCTGAGTCTCAAGAAGAGCCCACCTTGAACCCTGAATTCCTGTTTTGGACGAGGCAAGACCAAATCTTGGCCTCATGGATTCTCTCTTCCCTTTCTGAGACACTCCTTGTCACCATGGTTGGATTGAGAACTTCAAGGGAAATTTGGGAAAGCCTAGAAATCAGCTTCTCTAGCCAGTCCAAAGCCAAACTCCTTCAACTGAAACTCAAGCTTCAAACCATAAAAAAGGGTAGTCTGAGTATGAGGGATTACCTCAACCAAGTCAAAGCTTGTTGTGATACCCTTGGTGCTGCAGGACAGCCAGTCAATGATGAGGAACAAGCTATGCATATTCTTGCTGGTCTGGGGCAGGAGTATAATCCAGTGATGGTCTCCATCATGTCCAAAACAGACACCCTCATACTCAGAGATGTGCAGTCTCTCCTATTGAGCTTTGAAACTAGACTTGATGCATTCAATCCTGAAGGAGGACAATACAGTCTTGATGGTTCCTCTCCAAGTGTCAACCTTGCAGCCCAAACCTCTCAAAGGGAAAGAGGAAACTACCAAAACCGTGGCAGAGGCAATTGAGGCCCAAGAGGAAGAGGCAATTCAAGGGGAAGAGGAGGCAGAAATGGAGGAAGAGGAGTGAGATGCCAACTGTGCTTCTACAATGGGCACACAGCTGACAAGTGTTGGCATAGATTTGACCAAAACTTCGTGCCAAACACACCTCAAAACTACAACAGCAACTCCACCAACAACAACAATGGCAGAAACCAGTCATATTCACCTCCTGTGCACAC